TCTCCCACAGTCCTTATCTCCAGACCCAGCTGCAAACTTGATGTATTTATTTGTTCTGATGTGTGTAAGGGGGTGGGGCTCCATCCAACCCACAAGTCTGCCAGCACTGTGAGAAAGTGACCTTCCTGCAGATGGCTGTCTGCTAGCCAGGTGGGGGCCAGAGGGAGGTAAGGATTGCTATAAATCCCTTCAGCCTGCCACCAAGGGGTAGAGGGTAGAGGGCATTGTCTAGGGGACTTGGAACCACGTAGACTCTAAATGGACGGGAATCAGGAAAGGGGGCAATAAGAAAGGAAGAGAGGGGGTAAGGAGTGGAAAGGGGTGGGGGCAAAAGCCTATTCTGGGAGTCAGCAGCAGGCTTTTCCACTGAGAAGGGAGGTGGGTGCCTCACTGTGTTTGTGCTGCTGATTTGCTCAAGGTTGGCATTTGTTTAATCCTTAGGAGTACTTATTATTATCACCATTAATTCACATACAACAACCATACAGACCATACAGTTTTAGACAATCAGACAAACAAACTCTATTTCATACTGGTCTTACCACACTGGTCTGACTGGCTGGCCTTTTGGACTTTTTTTTTTTTTTTTTGTGGTTAGCTAGCTGGCTTTTGTAATCAGCCTGGCTATCCAGTTGGGGATATTTATAACATGTATGAACTGCATTGTACTCCAGGCAGCTGCTCTTGGAGAGAATTCCTTTGAGCTGAGTTTAAGGAAGTTCCTTGAGCCAAGACTGAAGGAATTTTCTCCCTCATTTGACAACAAACACATTTTGTATGGTTGGGTAGGAACTTCCAAACTTCCTGGTTTTTTGTTTTGTTTTTGGTGTGTGTGTGTGTGTGTGTGTGTGTGTGTGTGATGGAAAGAGTGAGTGGAAATTCTAGACCTCTCCACAGACATCTTCACCCAGGCCCAGTGGGTCTGGAGCTGACATATGGATTCAGTCATAAAAGCAAATGATAATCCCTTCCAGAGCCCCAGGCTCAGCATGGCCTTTGAGTAGGACTTCGGGTTATGCTGAAGGTGAATGTGTCCCAGAGATCTCACACATATTTCCTTTCCTTACTCTCCAGATGTCCCAACCTTCATTCCTAATGTGACCCTCAGGCTGATCTAACCCCACATCTTACCATCTACCCCACAGAAGGCTGGGCAGTCCATGGACACTTCTCAGTTGTGCTTTAATTAGAGATAGACCTCTCCAGAAATTGCACATCCCTAGCTGGGGAGGGAAACTGGTGGACGACCTTACAGAACTTACCATTGTGACTTTGGGCTGTCTAATCAGCTAGCTGCATTCCCTGAGTACAGCTGTATATGAAGAAAATAGTCCTTTTAGAGGTCACAGATCTGAAGAGTTCCAGAGAAGGCACAGCACGTTGCATTGAAACTTCAGTTGGAGTAACATGAAAATAGGACAAAAACTATCTTAAAGATTCCTTAGGGGGGTGGCAGTTGAAACAAAAAGAGATTGAGAGACATTGTCCTTTAAAAAATCTTTAAAAATTAAAATTAGGATAAACTTGAACAGTGGGACCAGAGGGTGGAGGGAGACAGGAGCTTCAGAGGGCCTGTACCCATCACCTGAGATCAGACCATCAGGGAGCCACCCCCAAGCTCCCTGTGCAGTGGAGCAGGGGTGGGGGGTGGGGGAGTGAGGATGTGGGGGGTGGGGGTGGAATTGTTATAAATGGTACTGGCCTAGACATGGGCTCCCTGTGAGGTCAATTCTACTTCTGCAATAGGCAAGAGAGCTGACCTTGAATAAGATATTGGCCTTGCTGTTCCCGGTGTTCACTGGTAAGATGAAGGCAAAGGTATTATGAAATAATGTAGCTGGAAGGAGGCAATGAGGCTACCTGTGTTAATGGCTAAGGCGCGTTTGGCAGGCAATCTCCCTCCTGGTGGGAGATTACTTTCCAGGATGTCCTGGGCTCCAGCCCCTAGTGAGATCTGCATATGCCTCAGTCCCTCCCATGACTGGTGGGAATTGGTCCCATTGGGGTTCAGTGAGCTGCAATAGAGGATCATCTAATCACTTCTAAAAGATGATCCCATAAAGAGATCCAGCATGCACTGGGGTGCTATGTTAGCTGGTGTTTCTCAGGGGGTTCTAGGACTTCTTGGTTGTCAAAGTCACAGACTTGGAGACGAAAAGAGTGATCGGCTCTGCTTCTAACAGGACCCCCAGCCTTCATTTCTAATCTAACCCCACATCTTTCTATCTACCCTCAGCTGGACTGTAAATCAAGACCTCTCCCTTGACAGCTAGCTTAATCCCAGGCCCCCTAACCTGGCTCAGGCCTCATTCTCCCTTAGTATTTATCCTAATTTCATCGATTACCCAACATTTCCCAAACTGAGACTACACGATCCCACATTTACAGGGTTGTTGTGCATGTGTCCCTGCTGGGCTTATAGTTACTTAATATTGAGGGTGAGTAGACCTTTAAAGAATCCCATGTTACTGTCATTCTGAGTGATCTCAGAAATCAGCAATATTAGTAATATCATTTCTGATAGGTGTTCAGGTAAATGTAAAAAGCCCAACATTTGAAAATTGTTATCCATGGGTCAGCTGCCTACAGCTCTTTCCTGTAGTCCCAGAAGAAAACACAGCACCCTACCAAGGGTTGGGATAGTTTACGTCTAGGCTACCTAATAAACCCCAGGACTGCTTTGCACAATGGCCCTCCAAACAGCAACCTCTGGCCAGACACATGGGCTGTGGCGCCCTCTGCTGACAGAATATGACAGTAGCGTGAGCTTGGCTCCTTTTCTACCTGGGCTGGTTCAGTGTCCCGACTGATGTTTAGTGCACCACAGCCAGGGACCCTAGTTGTGCCATTCCCTTAATGGAGAAGAAAGACACAATGTGAACTCAGAGAAGCTGGATAAATCTGGTATGTTGTGGGCAGGGAGACTCACAAGATTTAGGAGACCTGCTGAGAGGGCCTGGCCTGAGGTTAGACTTTGAAGGTGAATGGTGTAGGGTCCAGGGCTGCAAAACAGCAGGCACCTGGGTAGTGCTTGGGTATTATGCAGGTTGGAGAAACATGGTTGGGTCTGGGCTAAAGGACACTTTCAAGGAACATTCACAAGGGCATGAGCTAGCTAGACTTTGGCTTCCAAAAGAGGGGCTAGGGTAGAGATGAGCCAAGTGGCTTCAGGGAGCCTGCTCTCTATTCCTATTGCATGTGTAAGGAACACAGAGCCAACTACTGCTAAGAGTGTAAGGAATACAGAGCCAACTACTGCTCAGAGGCTATTGGCTTCTACAGACTAGGTCTCCTCCCCCAACATACTGTGTATTAGTATTAGTATTTAGCTAAGATTTGCTGTTGGTTTTCTTATAAAGTGGTAACTCTCATCTTATTATTTGTGAACTAAGACTTTAAGTTCAGTAAACTGATCTTCTCACTGAGCCTATCAAAGATCTCATGAAGCAAAAATATAATACACATTATCTCACTTACAAAGGAACTGCCTGGGAATCAGGGAGTGAACAGCCATATCATGGCCACTGGCTACCAAGAACTGAATTCCAGTGTAGCCGAATCTGTAGCCCAATAAGGTCTTGGTGGTTGCTAGTGGTAGTAGGGTAAATCTTGACTGATTTTTTTTTTTAAATAGCATACACAGCATATTTAGACTTTGATTTTTTTTTTTTTTTTTTTTTTTTTTTTTTGCCAAAGGTCAAACTGAGAGACTAAAAGCTCTAGGAGTGGGACTTGGACACCTGCGACAGGAAGTGGTTATAGTGATGATGGTACTGAACAAGCTTGTTGGTGGTGGCACACGCCTTTAATCCCAGCACTCAGGAGGCAGGGACAGGTGAATCTCTGTGAGTTTGAGGCTAGCCTGGTCTACAGAGTGGGTTCCAGGGCAGCCAGGGCTACACCAACCAACCAACCAAACAAACAAACAAAAGCAAATCAAACATACAAACAAAAAAACCAACCAACCAACCAAACAAAAACCCCAAAAACCCATCACATATTTATAGGGCAGGGCTTTCCTTCCTCCCTTTGTCTTAAATCTGAATCAGCTGCAACTAAAGATAGCTGGCCTGGTGGGGCTGGATCTCACGGCCCAGTTTAGTTCAGGGATAGGCTTGGGGCGAGGTATGAGACATGGCCTCAGCACCGCCTTACCTGTATAGCCAGGTTAGGCTCTTTTCCTTTTCCATCCTCAGCCCCACCCAGAACCAGAGCTCTAATGGATTGCTGTCCTAGCTCAGCCTCATCATGGTAGGAATGGGATTCTACAAGATACCTTCAAACACCAGGATGGGTCAGAGGTGTGGGCATGCAGATATCACCCACTTGAAAGTGGAGACCACCAACCTGTCAAGACCAGACCTCTGGGCTATCTGGGAAATTCCCTGGGAGCAGGAAGCAGGGAATGGGTTAGGGTGAGGAGGTGGACAACACCAGCAACAGTTCAGCTAACCATAGAGAACAGCTCACCTTCAAGATGACCACAAGGTTGGGGACCAAAGGCTTGGCATGAGAGCTAGGGTCCAAGGGTGAGGATGTTTCGTATCTGCTGCTCCAGCAAGCTACTGTCTACACTGAGAGCCCAGGGTGATAGAGCTGGCTGGGGACTCTGAGATAATAATGCATGCCAGCCAGCTCATTTCACAGAACACTAGAGCTCTGGCCTTTTCCTAATCGTAGTCAACGTGCACAGCCAGGAGCTTTTTCTACTTCCCTTTGACAGGGAGGTGGTCTGTGACAGCAATGATGGATGCTCGGAACCTGTTAGTGCTGCATGCCCTACTCCAGACAGCCTGGTTCTGGGGACCTCAGTAAGGCCACCTTCCCAAAGCTCTTGATGCAAGTGTCCTAATGGGTGTCCCTTGGAAGGGCTGAGTGCAAGGAGGGTTAGGTGACCTGATGAACAAAGAACAAAGTTAGAAGGGTCAGTATAAACAGGATTATGGATGGAACAACAGCTTCTAGCTCTCTTCTGCTAGAAGGCTCCTTTGGAATGGAAGTGGTTTTTGCTTATTGTTATTTTTTTTTTTTAAAGTTAACACGGTTGGTCTCTGGACAGTGGGAGCTGGGAGAACACAAATTCATGAAGGGCAGGTTGGTTTGAAAGGCACTTTGGGTGCCCAGGGGGCCGCTGGTATAGTGATAAGTATGGTCTTAGAACAGTGGTTCTCAACCTGTGGGTCACGGCCATGGGGAAACATGTGTTTCCGATTGTCTAAGGAACTGAGACCCTGCTCAGCAGTAAGGTTAACAGCTATAGTCGGGGGTTCCTAAGACCACCAGAAATGTGTGTTCTCCAACAGTCACAACCCACAGGTTGAGGACCTCTGCCTGAGTGTGTTTCTCGTGGGAGCTATCAGCAGATCACTTGGGACATTTCTATTGAACGTCAGGGGAGAACTGCAAGGCCACCCATGGTATAGTGGTAGGTGAGGTGACTGGGGCCATATGAGGGCCAATCACAGAGCCCAGAGGCCATGCATTCTTTACTCAAGTCTTCCTGACTCTGGCTTCTAGAGGGAGTGTCCAGGTCTGGGGTGCCTTTGACATCTGCTGCAGGAATTTTAGAGGAAGAGTGTTTGGTCCCAGATAAAGGGCACCTATTCAAAACTAAAGGACAGTTCTGTATTGGAGACCAGGACCTGGGAATGTGGTGAAGGGTGAGGCCTGGCTCAGGGATGCCCCTCCCTCTGTGGTCACTAGCTAAGCCAGGCATCCCTTCCTGTCAGCTCTGTTTGGTGACCTTTTTGGCCAAGCTCTGGCCAGAGAGAGTAGAGCTGCCTTCTGACCTGGCTGGGGCACACTCTTCCGACAGTCCTTCCATGTAGGTGCTCAGAGCCTGAAGGTATTGAGCAAGCTGGGTGGAAGCTGATGAGGAGGAGGTCTGTGGGCTCAGATAGCGGCCATACCTCTTCAAGCCCTCTTGCTGGCTGCTGCGGTATGCAGTCAGCAATTCTAGGAAGCTCACATTGTGGAGGGCCAAGAGGCGGGCCTCAGCCAGGGGCAGGACGCTAGCCTGAACTAGGGGCTGCAGGGAAGCAAAGCACTGCAAGCTACTGAAAGGGTAGACGTGCTCCACCAGCTGAGGCCCTGGACAGACCTCTAGAAGGGAGCACAAGTCTCGCATGGCCCGCACAGCAGCCAGGGCACTCCGTTCACTCATGTTTCTCGCCAGGTAGGTCTTGGCAAGGTTCCTGAGTTTGAAGCTGCTGGCACCAGGTATGCGTTCCTGGATGAGAGGCAACACAGCCAAGAAGCCTGAGATGGCGTCTTGGAATTCCCACAGCTTGTTAATATCATCCAGGGCCTTGAAGAAGACAGGGAGTCCAGGCCCCCACAGCTTAGAACAGGCCAAGATGGGACGGTGCGTGGTGGTGAGGAAGTTGAGGAAGTGTTGCAGTCCAACCTCCAGGGAGACTGCCTTAGAGTAGACGCCAAAGGCCTCGGGCTCGATGAGTACTCGGAACTTGCTTTCCTGGTTCACAGCTGCCAGTTGGCTAATTTTCTGGGCTAGGCAGGAAAGAAGGGCAGGGTGAGGTTCTGGGGTTTAGGAGGCACTGGGGTGGGTGCAAGGGGGTCTGGCTGCCGACCCACTATTTAGAGAGCCCACTTTGAGGCCTGCTGGCAGGAATCAAATAGTTCTTGAACCGCTGTAGTTCTTGCCTGGCTCTGATGGGAGGGGTCGGGGGCTCACCTGGCGGGAAGATGGTTTTTCCTATCCCTCCTGCCCTAGAGTTTGCCCAATCCTAAGAACTCTGTCCCTTTTGTATTTTCTCAGCCTTCTCCTCCACCAGAGGCCTCAGAGGGTCTCTTCTGGGCCTTCTATAATCCTACTCCTACCTCCAACCCCATCAGTCTCAGCTGGATCAGAGCCCAGGACTGAAGACAGCAGAAATGGCCTGTGTACCCCCTAAAAGCATGGCCCAGAGTCTCCCCCTGCAGCCTACAGATGGCTTTTTTTTTTTTTTTTTTTTTTGTGCTATGCAAATACCTGATGCTTCTGGCTGGTAGACTAGCCATAGTGGCAGGGCCCACAACTGTTAGCCAGGGCAAAGGGTCAGAGCTGAGTCGGCCAAGGCCAGGATGACAGAGAGGAAGTTAAGGGGTTCCCTGTGACCTAGGTTCTTCAGGCCTCCCTGTGTATCCATTTGTGGGCTGGGCCCTGTTTGGGGAAGTGTGTGATCATTGCAAAAGGTCAAGTATGGATTACTTGTCAGCAATGAGCTCACACACTGTTCCCAGCCTCTCTGTAAAAAGAAGGTCTTATCAGAAGTGAACCTATGGCATTACATGTCTCCCTCCCATCCCCAGGTTCCACTTCAGGCAAACATGGCAACATCAGGCATCCTAGGTTGGGTCAGAGTCCTCTGTCCACCTGGCTGCCATGGCCTGCGAATGCTAAGGGCTGGCTGGAGCCTTCCAGGTGTTTCTACCTGCACTTTTCTTGAGGACTCAGAGACTAAGATAAAAAAGAGATGGTGTAGCTCTTGGGGAACCCACTTTCACTGTCAATCTTGAGGTCAAAGAAAACCAGGGGCCTGTCTTCTGCTTGGGGGTCAGCGAGGCTCTCGTCCGATGCCTTGAGGAAGTTGGGGCCCTCCAGCTGGAGGTCACTGGACTCACTGCTGCTATCTTCCAGCTCGTGGGAGGACTGCAACACAAAAGAGCCAACAGGTCAGGAGTTCAGAGGCCTGAAGGACCAGGCAAGATGGCTCTGCTTTCTAGAGCAAGTGTGCACACATACAGGAAGATGCAGGAATGTTACCAAGGTGGTTACCAAGAAGGGATGCACAAATGCGTGTGCAGGTATGAACTGGGTCACACACCTTAGGAAGGGAGGTATGAAAGGGTATGACCACACAGGTGAGCATGAGTATGCACAGATATGCATGTGGGATGCATGCGTGAGGGATATGAATCTATGGACAGTGCTGGCACAAGTATGTGAACGTGTGAGATGGGATGGGATGGAGCTAGTTGTGCCTACTTGCAGAGGCTCGGGGAAGGGCCAACGGCTCGGTGTGCAAGGACTGAGATATCTGCTCCTAATGTCACCTCACTGAGCAGACTCAGAAGAAACAAATGGCACAGATGGGAACGAGACAGGAGCCTCATTCACAACCCCAGGCGATTCTTTGGAAGGGGGCAGGAGCCTGGCTTTCCTAGCCCTCAAAACAGACTGACCCATGGTGTCTTTCAGTTTAGGGAAGGGAAGGGCACTTGGCCTCTTGAAGTCCACATCTAGATGCTCATGCATTCCCTGGCTAGGAGAGGCTCTGGAGGAGCAGCTTGGAGCCTCAGATCCTGAAGACTTCAACTCTCCAAATCCATAACTCACTGCACTGAGGAGTTTTGGAGCTCAAGGACCCACCCCAGGCCTGCAAAGAGGCTCAGCTCTCCAGTGCAGGGGCAAGGTTGTCCTGGCTGGAACACCATTTCAAAGGCCCTAGGCCTCAAGGATGGGAAGGTCTCTCTTTACCTCTGATATTTTCTCAAGGAGCTGGAGCTACAGACAGGTTAGAGTGTCTGAGGATAATATACAAAGTCACTTAACAGCACAGCCTGTGGATGTCCTATGACTGTCACTTTGGACATTAGACAGGACCAAATGGGACACATGAGGAACTTCTGGGACAGAGCCCAGATAAGGAAGGCCCTGGGTCTGTCTTCTCACAGACTGCTCTGGTAGTCAATGAAGTTACCACCTGCAGCTGAGGTCTCTATTCGCTGTGGCCTCTGGCTAATGCCTCTGGCTTGAGAGAAAGCATAGCTATTGTCCTGGTTGTTGTTTTGTTAACTTGACACACGTGAGAGGTATCAGAGAAGAGGGAACTACAATTCGGGAAATGCCTCCATAAGACCGAGTTTAGGCAACCTATGGGGCATTTTCTTAGTGGTTGATGTGGGAGGGCAAAGCCCATTGTGGGTGGTGCCACCCCTTAGGCAGGTGGTCATGGGGCATATAAGAAAGCAGACTGAGCAAGTCAAGTGGAGTAAGCCAGTAAGCAGTGCTCCTCCTTGGGTTCCGCATCAGTTCCTGCCTTGAGTTCCTGCCCTGACTTCCCTGGATGACAGACTACAAGCTATAGCCTGAAATAAACCCTTTCCTGCGCTTTTAGTCATGGTGTTTATCACCCAGCCTTCCCAAACACTTGCTTTCCACAAACATTCAGCCAAGAGAAGTCATATTGCTCACTAGAAAGCTAACTAGAGCTGGGATTTCCTAAAGGAGGCTGCTTTTCACTCAACTTACATTTTGTGGTCCTGCGTTAAGCACCCCAACTCTTCCCAGCCTACCTTACACCCAGGGACCCCACATTGCTTGCCTTCCCTGTGAGGACCTTTCTGGAGGTGTCCTCTGAGTTGCTAGCTGAGCCACCCTGGACGTACCCTTCCCTAATCTGGGAATGTTCACTCTTGCCAGCTGTGGAAGAGCTGGCTCAATAGTCCAGTTGATTCTGCAGCCACTGACGCGACACATGGGCTTCATCTTCCTTGGCCTTCTTCTAGCTTCAAATGTTACTTCAAAAGCCCCTTTGTGGCCCTAGGCGCTCCCACCCGACTCTGGGCAATGACTTCCATCTCCTTTTGGTGATGTCCCTTTATGCCTCAAAGGCAATCTTCCAGAGCAGGACACCTGGAGTGCCACACAGCTGGACTTTTTGGTTCGTGCCTTCATCTTCACACCACATGGCAGGAAGCCTCATTTCTATTTCTAAGTCTGCCTTCTCTGAGGGAACCTGTGGGTGTCTCAATAACAAGATGCCTCCTACCCTTCCTCTGTGCTGTGACTGGAGGAAAGGATGGGCCTGTCTTTTAGCCTGGGCACAGCCCTTCCTCCCCCCATCTCTGAGAACGGCCATGCACTGTGGCAGAGGCTGGTCTCTCTGGAACACTGTACTTAAGATAGGCAGCTGTAAACTCCTTATTCGCCCCCAACCAGCCTGGAAGGAGTGCACCATTTAAGCAAGACATTTCTGAAGGGGAGAGCACACAGAGCATCTGGCCCCAGAATCTTTTCCTCCTGGCTCAGCAAGGGAGCCTCTGGTCACATCTGCAGCCCTCACTCCTCCATTTTATTCTAAAAACCAGAAAAGGGTGTGAAGCAGGACAGGGGGAGGCAGACAGACAGAGAGGAGCTGGTGGGGGAAGGAACGTGGAGGAGGAAGGGAACAGGGCTGGGAAAAGAGAGGTTGGCCTAGGAGTGAGAACAGCAAAGGAAAGGGCAAAATACTTCAAGAGACCGTGGAGTGGTGATAAGAACCCAAGGGGTGGGCTGGGGGAACCAGAGTGTCACTGTGGGTTGTAAGCTCTCTTTCCTTCCCCGTTCCCAGACAGAGGCAAGAGCCAGCCTTTCTTGTCCCTCCTGTATCACATCCTCTGTGTAAATGTCACTTTCTTTAAAACAAATGAACATCCCTATAACATAGATGTCCAACTAAATCCAACCAATTCAGTGTTGCTTGATTTTGGCCAGGCTTGAGTGGCGTAAAAAGCTCTGGAAGTCTAGGCTGCACATGGGACAATTCAATTAGAATCCGAGGGAGTGGGACCCAGCAATCTGTAATTGTTCAAACTCCTCAGTGCAAAGCCAGGCTTGAGAAACCTGGGTCTTCAGAGGGGTTCATTCTATGCTTGATCATCAGCTGAACAGACACGAGCCAAATCCTTTAGGAAGCTGGCATCCAGCTTGAAGGAACCATCTTAGTACCTTCCATCAATGCCTAGTGAGAGTTGTGACCCTTAAGAACGTTCTCAGCACTCAAGCTTCAGCTAAAGCTGGCCTCAGTTTAGCAAGACACATGCATCTCTAGGGTTAACAGACACAAACTCCTAGCTCTTGTAGTCTTGAAGGCCTTAGAGATGCAACAAAGATATTAGAAAATCAGGCCATCTGATTGGCTGCTATAATTCTTCTGCCTGCTGCTCTAGCCCTTCTGCAGGCAGCTCTGCTCTTAGGCAGACAGGGCCTACCTTCTCAACCAAGCACCCGACTCACATTCTCTGATATGCACACTCAGCGGTGTCATGATTACATCTCTGCTCCAGCGGCTGCCCACGGGCCTCCCTTTCTCTGTCAGTCATCATTGCTAGGTCTATCACAGGCTGCCCTCTTAGCTAGGCTCCTTCCTGCTTGGTCCTTCTGTTGCCAAGGTGTCTGATCATCTGTCACAAATATGGGTCAGAGCACCTAACTCTTCTGCTGTGGCCCAGGTTAGGTGCAGGGCTTCCCCATCCTTCCAGGGTTTAAGCAACTGTCCTCATCTCATGGACTCTGCAAGAGATGAGGACTTGCCTTCTGCTCTAAATCTGTGACCTTGCTGAAAGGGCGAGCTCTTCCAATGCGTTTCTCCTTGCTCAGTCTCTCTCTACAGACAGAGCTGCAGACCAGGCTGGGGCCTACACCCACTGGCTTACTAGGAAAAGTTGGCACCCAAGTAGGCCAATACTACACTGCAAGGCAGAACAAAGGCCCCACAGCAAGGATATGTGGCTAGATAGCCTGCAGCACCATCCCCTCCTCCAAACTGCAAAGTAGTGCCTCAGAGGTTTGGGAGTGAAATGCATGAGAGGATCTAGTTTATTTCTTAAGTTTGGGACTCTTGTAATGGTCACTTTTTACATATATATATACACAAACGCAGTGGACTCTTTGCTTCTGCTTGCCAGGCTCACCCTGCACAGTGAGCAATGCCCTCTAGCTGATCACCTCTTCCTAATCTGAAATGTGTCTCCCTTCTCCCTTGGTGACCCTGATACTCCCAAAGATGGTAAACTTAGAGCCTCTCTTCCTTTTCTACCTGCTGCTTATGGTGTCTCCTGAGCTCAACCCTGCACAATGTCCAGGGGAACTGCTGGAATGCTTTTCTCCACCATTACTTCCTAGGTCCCCACCTCCATCCACAGGCAGTAGCCTGAACTTTCTCAAAGATGATGAGCTAGAAAGAAATGTCCAGGTGACAGAAGAATATAAGCCACGGGAAGGCAAGGATCAAATTTTGGCTGGAGGGGAGAAATATCTAAAAGGGGTCTCCTGGGCTCTCAGCTTGTGTACTTAGGCAGACAGTAGAGTGATAATTCGAGAGGAGAGAAAGAGTGGGTAAGGTACATGCAGGGCATCCAGGCAGATCTGTTGGAAGGTCCTGACATGCTGGTCTCGCAGGCAGAAGCAAGTGTGGGCACCAGCTCTCCCTGGGCAACAACTAGTCAGAGTGGGCTGCAGAGTATAGGGAAAAGAGGCCCGAGCCAATGCCCCAATGCCAATCTTTACAAGAGCAGGGAGACCTGGAATGGAGCACTTAGAGATGAACGGAGAAAACAGACTTCTGTGAAGAGGTCAACCCAGTCAAGAATGCTATGGACTACCTAGGACCACTGTGCTGAGAGGTCTGGAGAGTCCCTGGCGCTGACAGGCAGAGTCTGCAGACATGGTGGGGAGGAGCAGAAAGTGAGATGAGGAGCGATGAGAAGCACAGACCAACCGAGAAGCAGGGAGTGGGCAGAGACTGACAAGGGGCAGCGGATGAATCAGAAGTCACAGGCAGATGAGCATGAGATAGAGTGAGGCTTCCCACAGGGCAGGGGCTGGGCCAGGACACAGGCGTGGGTCTTAGAGGCAGGCATTTCCAGGCAGACGGGGCAGATGAAGGGAAGTGACAGTAACAGGCAAATCTGTAATTAGGTAGCAGATGCCCATGATCCCCACACTGTCAAAGGGGTTTCTGTTTCCTCCCAGGTTCAAAAGGTACAGTCATCAAGTAAGAGTAAGGACGACGGGAATGAAGCCCAGGGAAGTGTCCCTGGGAAGGCCTTTGCTCTTTGCCTTCCTGTATTGCTTTTCTCCAGCTTGTCTCCAGGGGGCAGCAGAGAGTCAACAGGGCCCTGAATCTTTCTGTGGTTCTTTCTGCCAGATGAGGTAATGACTGAAACACCTCAGCTGGAGGGAAGTGATGGTAGGTCTGAGGGCTGGAGGAACAAAAGGCTGTGGTCTGAGTCACAGCAGTCCATTTAGAGATGGTGTCAAGGAACGCAGTGTGGCCATATCACTGCTTGGCAGCCGAAGCCACAGGTTGCAGAGCCTTCAGACATCAGGGAGCATAGGACAGATAGTGGGTACTGAAATCAACAGGAAGAAAACAAGACATGAGGGGGAAAGGAAATTGAGGGGGCAGATGGCCCTATCTTCCCTCCATGAGAAGGCAGGTGGGCAGGGGTATGAGAGACAAACTGGGGAGATAAGGTTAGTTACAACCTAAGAGCTGGACCTCAAAGCCACCAGGTAATATCAATGCTGTACAGGCATGTCCTGCTTCCCATTTTGGATGCTCATAAGTGTGGAGGGAGACAGCCATTGTCTCCCTCAGAGGAGAGCTAAGTTCTGTGCAGGAAAAAGGCAAACACCACCACAAGGAAGATTCTACACAGGATCTGATGGCTGTAGAAAAATGGTTCACAAAGGAGACCATTCAACAAGTATTTATTGAGCAGTCATACCTGCCAGGCCTTGGGATGGAGAGTCTGTATTCATGGACGGAGATGTGGGATGGGATGAGAAGCAGCCATGGAGGAGGGAAGAACTCAGGTTCTCAGAGGCACATCTGATAGAGGGCCTAGGCCTGGACTGGTAGGGATGGGGCCTCTTGGGTGGGCTGGGTGGTAGTAATGAAATTTCAAAGACTTAAAGATAGGCCTTGAACTTGGGGATTCTCCATGGGGGCTTTGTTAGAATCTCTGAGGAGATGTGCTACCTGTGCAGCACCCTTGGAAGAAGCATTAGGCTGAGAAGCCATGAAGAGCAAGGGAGAAAAAGTTAAGTTGCAAAGCCATTGGTTAAAATAGGGGAAATACCCAGGAGAGCCCTGAAGGCTCTGCACATTCTGCAGAGTGTATGGAGGCATCAGCGGGGTGCCCGGGGAGCCCTATGGTGGCAGGGGTGGTGGCCTGAGCTACAAGAAGAGGCCTGTGTCAGGGTATAATATCCCTGGGGGTATAGATCACCAAGGATGTGATGTAGGCAGGTGGCTCTCCTTGCTTTGTTTGAGAAATGCAGATCTGATAGAGGGCAGCGGCACACTTCTGGCAACTGGTAGGCTGGCCGGAAGACTCGGAGTCAGAACCGGCAGCTTTCTCAGTGGGATGATGGGAAGACCGAGCTGGTGGCTGGCAGGCACCTTGAGGTAGACTGCAGGCCCTGTTGGAGTGGGAGGTCCAATGTGGATGGGAGGCTCTTTGGGTGTCAGTAGGGAGAAGTGGGTTGGTGAAGAGGGTGTGTAGTGGTATCCAGTTCTGAATGTTTTCCAATGCGGCATCTCAGACTGTGGGCAGGAAAAAACTCTGTTGTCCCTGAACACTTAACAGCCTGGTCTCTAAGAGTCATCACAAGATGCCTTTAAGGAAGTTTTCTAATATGAAGTAAAATCTTGCACGTGCTCCTGTGGTGGTTTGAATGAGAATGTTCCCCATAAGCTCAGATGTGTGAACACTCGGACCCCGGGTGGAGCAATTGTATGGGGAGGATTAGGAGGCGTGGCCTTGTTGGAGTAGGCATGTCACTGGGAGTAGGCTTTGAGGTTTCAAAAGCCCGTGTTATTCCCAGCTGGCAGCTCTCTTTGTAACTTGTGCTTATGGATCAGATGTGCCTGGCTGCGGCCATTCTCCCTGCCATGATGGTCATGGAATTACCTTCCAAAACTATAAATCTCAATAACCTCTTTCTACTATAAGATGCCTTTGTCATGGGGTCATAGAAAAGTAAAGAAGACATCCTCTGTCCATTATTTGTTACCCATGGACACCACTATCCATTACTAACCTTTATTAACTGATGTTGTTGTTTTATTTGTTTGTTTGTTTTTCAGACAGGATCTCTCTACATAGCATTGGCTGCCCTGGAACTCATTATGTAGATCAGACCAGCCTTGAACTCACAGGGATCTATACCTGCCTCTGCCTCCCAAGTGCTGGGATTAAAGGCGTGAACCACTATGCCTGGCTCATTGATTAACAAAGGAATGAACTCTTGTCCAGCTCTCATCATGGAGAACTCAGCTGATAGAAAATATATAAAGAAGCTCTAGAGAAAGGCTTCGGATATTCCAGAGGGCAGCCAGTTCCTAGAGGAAGCAGTCTAGCAAGTATTTCAGAGGTACTTGCCTAATGCCACCAGAGGGCTAGGGTGCAATAAGCATGCAGCTGGTACTAGCAGACTTCCCTTGGTATAGTTTAGGCTTTTATTGCCTTGCTGGAAAATTTCCCAGGAGCCACATGAGCCTGAAAGTTGCCTGCTGTGGCTGCAGCCTTTGGCACCTTAAATGAGAGGAGACAGGAGTCCTAGACTGGACTCCAAGTTACTCACCAGATTCTCAGTATCTGATTCTTCCGAGCTGCTGATCACCACAATTCGCTCTTCTGAAATGGAGAAGGGGTGGTGGCATTAAGTCCTTCCTGAAATGTCCACTGGCTGACGTGAGAGGTGGCCACCCAAGAGAGTCCTTGTAAGCCAATGGGCTGGGGGTGACAGATGCCCTGTCCTGTGTGCATCAGGAGGAGATGGAGTATATTTATCGCTAAGGCACAGTGTTTGGCACTGGCAGAGTTTGGAGGGAAGGAGTCAGAACTAGGGCATAGCCCCTCAGGTGTCCCACACTGAAATCACAGCAAGGTACAGTATAAACAACCTCTACCATACTCAATGGCAGCTCAGAGCAATGTGTGCCTGGAAATCCTGGTGGCTTTGAGTGCCCAGGTGGGATCAGAATGTGGGGTGGGGGCTGAAGGTGTTCCAGATATCTGAGGACAGCATGAGGGTCTTACCCAAGTACCAGCCTGCTTGATCTCTCTACCTGCTTTTCCTGTGTCACTGGTAACATGATTGTCGGTGAGCAGGAGGGTTTCTTCTTCTAGAACGGGGCTCTCAGGGTTGGAAAGCTCATCCAGATGGTGAGGTGAGATGGCCTTGGAAGTGCTGGGTCTGGGCTGCTCAGGGGAGCTATTGGTCAACCTGTCCTCATCCTCCTCTGTGGACTCCATCTTGATGATCTTCCTGGAGCAATTGGTGTGGCAGCACTTTCTCTTCCTGGGGGTGACTGTCTGAGAGGCTTCCTGCACAGTGGAGAGTTACAGGTGATTCACATGTATCCAGTATTGCTGGGCTAGGGATCCTGAGCTGAGTGCCGGGGGTTTGTGCTATGATTTTGTTCCTGTTCCTTTGGCCATACTGAGCATATCTCTGCAAACAGGAAACTCTTGCGTTGCCATGCACATTGGTCATAGTCACTGACCAATGATCTCTGTTGGCCTCACGGCTTTGGCTGTCATCATCCCAGCTGTGCTGAGAATGGCTCAAGCTTATTGGGAGGGGGGCATCCCAGAGCAATGGAGAATGTGGGGTACACACTGAGCAAATAAAGACCTTAGGAAGGTAAAGATTCTCATCTGGCTGCATCTCACTGTTGGCTGGAGTCTGAGTCTTTCAGATCAGCCAAGGATGATAGGGGGACTTACCTCTCTATAGGTAGGGCCTTTCATAGAGAAGGCATACACCGGCACAGGGTGTGCTCCAGGCACTGATTGTACCACAGCCACAGGGTGGGTCTTAGACATATTCAGGACCTGGGCCTGCTCCCTCTGCATTTCATTGGGCTGTAAAATCAGGTAACAAGAAGTCAGAAATGGCCAGGGACCCTGGGCCAAACAACCTGCCTCAGTTGAAAGCTTCTTGGTCTCAATTGAAGAGCTCACTGGGATATAAGTAGCCCTTCTAGAACCTTCCTTGATGACTCCTTCTGACCTTAGGTTGCTGGTACCCAGGCCCACATCAATTTCTTGGCAGGTTAGGAAGATACCTCAGGGACCACAGGACAACCCCTCAAGACATGCCTGACAACTAGTCTAGCTTGCATGCCTCTACAGACAAGCTGCTTGCTTTGAGAGTAGTACCTCCCTCAGCAGCAGTGAGAAAATCCAAGCCCAGCCTCCCACGAGCTTGCCTCAACCCCCTCCCCCCAAGTCTTTTAACTCTGTCCAACAGCAGCTACACATTGGGATTACTTAAAGCTCACTGGGCCTCAGTCTCCTTCCCCAAAATGGGATGGTAACATTTGCTTCATACGCTGATATGGATGAAGTATGCCAAACACCTTCAATATATCTAAAAGAGTATGTAGTACATACAGGGTTCCATTAGTGGGGGTGATGAGGATGGCTAATGAATATCACACTGTTTTGTTACTATTCCAGGTCAGACTTGGTGCTCAGTGTTTTGAGTATCTATTATTAAAATGGAAGCAGGGGCAGTTTCTCAAAAAGTGAAAAAGGAGCTGAAGAGATGGCTTGGAGGTTAAGAGCATTGGCTGCTCTTGCAAAGGACCCGGGTTCAGTTCCCAGCACCCACATGGCAGCTCACACCCATCTGTAACCCCACTTTTGGGAGATCTGACACCCTCTTCTGGCCTCTGTAGGCACTGCGCACATATGGTACACTTACCTGCAGGCAAAACACTTGTATACATAAAATAAAATGACCACATGACTTACCAATTCTACTCCTAGGTACTATCCCCAAAATACTAAAGGTAGATGTTCAAATGCAAACTTATACATGGGGCTGGGAAGGCAGTTCAATGGTAAAGCAACTGCCTACCATGTATCAAGCCCCAAATTGGATCCCCAGAACAGGAGCAAAAAGTTTAAACATCTTATCTTTGTCTGTCTAGCTCTGCAATTGCTGGCTGTCATTCTACTTAGGCCAGGAACTCCCTGTAGACAAGGCTGGGTACCTCTGCTTCTGTTCCCTCAACATCCACTCACCAGCATTAAAGAAGGAAAAGACACTAAGAGGGGAAAGTCACAAGTGATTTATAGTTGTCTTAGAACAGCAGCTCTCAACATGTGGGTCCTGACCCCTTCAGGGGTAGATGACCCCTTCACAGGGGTTGCTAAGACCATTGGAAGACACAGATATTTACATTATGATTCATAATAGTACCAAAATTACTGTTATGAAGTGGCAATGAAAGTAATTTTATAGTTGGGGTCGCCACAACATGAGGAAACACAAGGTTGAGAATCACTGGGTTAGAGTTTTAAAATCACTAATACTTTCCCTTCTGAGGCAGTGCTGTGAGGGCCAGAGCTGCCTCTCCTGGCAGGACTGACGATGCAGGCATAGTACCCTGAGACAGGTCTGGGCCTGCCTCCTTGAACTTTGCACCCACACGCTGCTACCCACCTCTTTCTGGAGTCCTACTCTCAACACCCAGGTGATGATCGTGATGTAAAGCAGAGCAAAGTTCAAGTTCAAACTGCTTCACAGCTGGGTCTCTCTGGGTCTGTATCTCTGCAGGAGGCTTTAGATTCCATGCTTGCTTATAGCTCTAAAATTCTCCAAGTCCTGCCTGCTCCCAAGGAAGTCTTTCCCAACTACTGTAGCCCACAGCAATCTCTTGCCCATGGGTCACCCCAATCAGAGGATGTCCATCAGAGGATATGCTTGGTCCTGGACCTACATCTCAACACGCAGATATACACAAAGAAGTGACCAAGCTGGAAAGGAGAAGGATGGCAGGCCCAGGAAGGAACTGCCACAGGGGAGCCATGCCTATGAGCATTGTTGATGGAGGAGAATGGAAAGGATGCCTGTGCAATTTTACCCTGGAAAGCATTAAGTCAGAGCAATCAGAGGAAGGAGTGTCACCTCAAGAACGAATGAGTTTCCTGTCCCCAAAGGCATGTGCAGCAGAGGGAACACCAATATGAGATCACCTATGGATGTCTTCCCATCCTGAGAAACTGTAGGTTTCAGGCATATGTTGGCCCTGGAATCTGTGGGATTGAGCTCTGATTCCTACCTAGCCTTAAATCCAAGAACCATGTGGGTAGGGGTGGAGGTCCACCTATGCCAGCCCCAGAAAGTGGCTCATACATTTAGTGTGAGCTTCAGGGATATCCTGAGTCACATCCAACAGGACCATTGTTTACTTCCTTCACTTCCTGCCCACCCCTGGGTCTGACCCCTCCTGAACTAGTTCATAGCCCATCAAGAGCTACGGAGGCATTCAGGAACCCTGTACCAGCCAGCCAAACCCTCCTCACCACTTTCTTAACACTCTCCTCCTGAGAGCTCCAGTCCAGCCATTTGCTATCCCCTCTTAGGCATTCTCCCTGCTATCACAGGACATCAGGACCCCCAACCACTTGCCTACCACCTCTCCTTACACATCAAACACCACTCACCTGCTCGAGGTCACAAGAGTCCTTGGGAGTGCTGGCTGCCTCTGGGCTGTCTCTCCCAGGTACTGCTGCATCTGGGGGGGGGGGGACAGAGAAAACATGAAAGCAGCCTAGTAAGGAGAATTCTGGGCTGGGACAGTGACAGGGAGGAGGTCCTTGTTGCGTTTCCTAGGTATTCACTACTGAGTATGTCTACATGGAGGAGCTGGAATTGACTATTGTAGGCACGAACCCAAGAAGAACAAAGGGGAAGGTAGCTTGATGTGATATCTTTGACTTTAAATCCCAAGTGCACATCTTTTCATCTTTTGTGGAAAAAATAATTTTGTACAATGTGAAGACGTGCTGCTCTCCTTGGTTTATTAAAGAGCTAAATGGTCTGTAGCTAGGCAGAAAGAGGTTAGGCAGGACTTGCAGACAGGGATCTCTTGCTCTCTGGGATGAAGAAGGGCAGAGTCACCAGGGAACATGGAGAGAAGCAAGATGAACTTTCCCTGATGAAAAAAGGTACTGGGCCGCATGGTAGTAGTATATAGATAAAAAAAATATGGGTCAATTTGAGTTGTAAGAGCTAGTTAGTAACAAGTGTAAGCTATGGCCCATCTTTTCTAATTAATAATAAGTCTTCGTGTCATTACTGAGGAGCTGGTGATCCCAGTGGTTCCAATGAAAAGGTACAACTACAGGGAACCGAACTATTCACTGTCTAGATGGAGAAGATACAAGTCCATCTCCGTTCTAGGATCACACTTTTACAAGCCCATAGCCACCAGCTCCGGGGGGAGGGGGAGAGCCCCTATTCCTGGAACCTGCCAGGAGCCAGTAGGGGTGCCCCTCAATAGCTGCTCAGAGTTGACCTTCCAGCCAAAGGATTTAAACAAAAACTCTGAAGGTGTATGTACATTTACCGTCTTTGTTTTGAATGTTCCTTGTGATAAAGCCAAGCATGTCTCTAAGCTATGCCATGTGGCCCAGGGTCCTCTCCCAGTTGGACTGAACAACTTTTGAGATAGGAGATGGCCTGCCACTTCTGTACCTCATAAGAGCTCAGTACCAGTACTCAGTATGCGGAACCTAGAGGCTAGGAGTTGGCTGCTTCATTCTGGGGGAATCCTTCCTTTCAGTGTCAGACCGAGTACCCCATTGCTAGGTTTTCTAGGACTCCTTCTCTCCTAACCTTACATCCCAGTTGACTTCTCTTTTCCTGGGCATAGAGGACTTAAGAGGCCCCTGGAGTGGGATGCAGTGATACTACATCTGGCTCTCAGATCAGCAGCTTCTCAATTTTCATGTTCCCCAAGGTTGACAAAGTCACATCTATTCCATAGAGTCTTATAAGTTAGCAAAATGCCTCCTCCGGGTGCCTGCCACACCAGATCATTACATCCTTTTATTCTGCCCCCCTGGAACCTAAGGCCTCATAGCTGTCTTTCATCTATCAAATGGAGACCATCTTTTCTGCCTCTCCTTCCCCTGGGGGCAGCAGTGAAGCATGGACCCTTTAAATGTCAAGTTAGCTGTTCACGAGCGTGGCCTCAACACTCAACACTTAACCTGTCCTCTGGGTGATGCAGGAGATGAGGTCCTGCAGGCACATCTTGAACTCCTCGAAGCCGCTGGTGCGCAGCTGGACTTGTTGGTTCTGGGGCTCCTCCTGGCCCAGGCGGCAGAGTGCCTTGCGCAGAAAGTCATGCATGTCCAGCACCTCCTGGTCGGAAGCATAGAGCTTCATCCTCTTGACCAGCGCCCCACCAGTGCGGATGCGCTGCAGTACAGCTTCCAGGCGGCTCAGCTGACCAGCTATTTCCTGGTAGTCGCACTGGTAGCGTGCATTCACCGCCTCGAGCAGCTCACGCTCCTGTGCCTGCACATGCTCCACCACCTGGCGAACGCGTGCTCGGATCCTCTCCTCAGTGTCTGCGCGTGCATGCTCCAATTGGCCTATGGCCGAGCGCATCTGCGCATGAGCATTGTTGAAGATTTTGTCTTGCTCCTGCAGCGCCTGCGTCATGGTGCCCAGCTCCTCATGCCTCTGCTGGATCTCCTCGCCAATGTCGCATTGGAGATGGCTGTGGCTACGGTCCAGGATCGCACATGCGCAACACAGAGGCTTGGCACAGCCTCGGCAGTAGATGCTGTGGACACGAAAGACCCACTTAGGACATGCTTTTTCTCAGTTTATGCTTTTCCCTACTCAGTGTTTATGGTTATGGTTATGATACCAGACAGTAAAAAGCTACCACAGCACCAGCAAACACAGGGAGTAAAGGTGCTCTCAAGCAAGCATAACAACCTGAGTTTGATTCCCCAGAACCTATGTATATGGTGGAAGAAGACAATTGAGTTCTATCCTCTGACCGCTACGTGTGTGCCAAAGCACAATGGGCACCCACACTCATACACACATTTTAAAAAGTAAACAAACTACTGGGAGATGTCATTCTGTAAATATGTTTCTGTATTGGTTAATGAATAAAGCACTGTTGGCCAATAGGAAAGCAAGATAGGAGGGACTAGGAGAGAAGGAGGATTAGGGAGAGGGCAGGAGGAGTTTCAACATGTAGGACCAATAGGATAGAACTCCGGATCCTCAGGTAAGATAAGACCACGTGGAAATACTTAGATTAATAGAAATGGGTTAATATTTAGGACAGAGTTAGCCAATAAGAAACACTAGTAACTGGCCAACAGCTTTACATCTAATACAGTGTCTCTGTGTGTTATTTGGGGCTGACATGGCAGTGGGCCCAGGCCAGCGGGAAAACATGCACGTAACAAACTACCACAGTAACAATTTCTCTACACATGCAGCAAATGCAGGCCCATACAAAAAGAAATAACCAGTTCCCACCATTTCTTAACATTTCCTAACCCCAGCTCTGACCCCATCCTGCCCATTCAGACCTCAGCTGAGCATGGAATGGTTTCTTCTTCCCACTTCCGCACATCCAAACTCAGAAGCACCTGCCATGCATGTCAATCCACCTCTACAAGCACTGGCAAGGCACTTTTATTATTCTCTTTTCACAGATGAAGAAACCAAGACTTACAGCTAAACAATGTGGAGGGGTAACGTTTGTTCTTAACAAACAAAATCATACTACAATTACCTGGTAACTTCCTTCTCTTTCATTCAGGTCATTCCTTTAGGTTCATAGGGACATACCTAATGTATTCTTTTTAATAGCTCCATTACAGCTACATGGACCATTGTTTCATTCAACAGGCTCCCTTTTGACAAATGCTCACTGTTTGTGTATTTTCTTTGTACCTTTCTTCTCTCTCCCTTTTATTTTTTGAATGATGTTATTTAATAACATAACATCCATGTTAAGCAGCCTAATGTATGGGTGCCTTTCTCTCTAAGAAACAGAGTATAAATAATAGATTGCTAGATGCATATCTCTTAATATTTTGTGCATGTTAATGGTAAGTATGTGATGTCATGGATATTCTAATTAGTCAGATTTTTCCAGTTCTAAAACGTATATTACAACATACACAGTTTTTTATTAATCAATTTAATACACAGGCTAACAGACTTTCACAGCATTTATTATAGTCATTCTAAGTTTTGAACATGTTACAAGGTGAAGGGACTTTAAAAGTGTGATTAAATTAAGAATCTTAAGGTTCTAGGACCTGCAGATAGGTCAGAAGTTTAGGGCACTTGGTCTCTTTCAGAGATCCCCAGTGTGATTCCCAGCACCTACATGGTGACTCACAATGTTTGTAACTCCAGTTCCTGGAGATCTGATGCTCTCTTCTTACCTCTGTGGACCCCAAGCACACATGTGCATATGTACATGCAGGCAAAAACAAACAAACAAACAAACAAACAAACAAACAAACGCTTTAAAAAGAGTGCTCAAAAGGAATTTCAAGATTGAGAAATTATTCTGAGCTATCTGAGTGTTATCTCAAGAGTTGTAATAAAAGAAAGAAGGGAGGTAGGAGATTGAGACCCCATGGGAGCAGAGGCTGGAGTGACAATCTCCTGTCGGCTTTGAAGATGGATGGAAACATGTGCCGAGGAATGTGGGAGGCATAGAAGCCAGAAGACGGATTCTCCCAAGTGAGCCAAGCTCTGCTGGATTTTGATTTTGACTCAGACCTGTTTCAAACATTTGAAGTCCAGAGGGATAAGATTAGGGATCTGCATTGTTATTATAGCAGCAATAGGAAATTAATACAGGAAGTTAATACAGCAATAGGAAATTAATACAGGAGCCAGGTAGCAGCCTCCTTCCAAGTTCTTAACCATTGCAATGATGTTGCTTCAAAAGTTACCAGGAACGATACTTTCAGCTTCTTCTAAAGATATTTAGTAATGTATGTAAAGAAAAAGCTCACTTGAGATCTGGGGAAACATTTTATCTGGGGTCACGCTGGCCTTGGTAACTAAGACCATCATGATCCAGAACTATCAACAGAGAGCTGCTGATCAGACCCTGGCCCTCTGCTTCATCAGCTCTTACCCTCCTCAGACCACTCACAGTGATGATGTCTCAGCACTCGATCAGACACTGGAGGCTTATTCCAAGACAGCAAAGAATTCCCAGAGAGCTCAGAGAGTAGGAAAGAACAGCCCCAAGGATGCATCTCTTTCATCCATGGAGTCTGATCTCAGTAACAGTCCTATTACCCAGAGCCAGAGCCAGACTGAGGTAAACAGCAATGGAGCAGAGAGAACTGTAACTCAGGCCCATGCCATTTGCAGGCCACTGAACTTCCAAAGCCCCTAACTCTCTGAGAAGGCTAGGGGTAGACCAGGAATCTGGGTAATCTGTCAATGTGCTGCCACCTGGACCCAGAAATGCTTTTAGCTAAGTGGTTCCTTCTGCCTCATCTGAGGGACACTCACTGAGCTCAGACTATGTGCTTGGCACTATGAAAGAGGCCTAAGTGAGATGGGGACCTACACGGGGTTCTGTGACAAGAGCCTAGATTTACTCAAGACAGAGAACTGTGTCCCAGAAGGGCAAAAAGGCCTGGTATTTCCTCCTAGAATACACGAAAGGATTAACTAAAACACTACTGAGTCAACAAGAAATTACTCAGAAAAATAACTGTATTACACCAGAACTGAAAAAGTGAGACAGAAAGGAGATGAAGAGGGAGGGAGAGAGAGATCTTAATTCTATTACATCAAAGGAAATTAAAAACAAATTGGGGTGGGTGGGAGTCCCATTCACAACAACAATCCAAAACTGTTACAAAATACTTCCACATACTAGCAATAAATCTGTAAGATTTATATGAAGAAAATAGCAAAAACTCATTAGAATTAAGTCTAAGTGGGACTGGTGAGCTGGCTCAGTAGACAAAGGTGAGAGCCATCAAACCTGACCACCCAAGTTAGATCCCTAGGATTCATGTGACACCCACATCTGTGCTGTGGCAAATGCACACAGGAATAAGCATACAATAAATCAGTAAATATCCTGGCATGGGGACCAGGAAGAAGGCACAAAGTCCAACTCCTAACCAAGAAGCATTTGCAACCGATAGCTTCTGGGAAAGGAAAATTGGTCTTCTACAATGAGGAGACAAGGGGGATGTGAAGCACACTTCAGGGCAGGCCTTGTGCTCAGGAGCAATTGGCCAACATAAAACAGACTCCACGGTTTTGCTTTTTCTATTGGATTTTGTTTTTAAGAGAGAGAAACAACATGCAATTGGTTGAGTAGGGAGGAAAATCTAGGAGGAGTTGGGAAAGAGAATATGATCAAAATATATTGTATGAAAACTTAAAAAAATACACACCTTTAATTCCAGTACTTGGGAGGCAGAGGAAGATAAATGTAATTTTAAAATAAAAAAAATTCTAAAAATCCAGAAAAGTAGATGAAGCTTCTGATTAGAAAGACTAGATATTGTAAGATTATTGATTCTCAAGACAGCATAACTGGTCCTTCCTGTAAGTGGCTAAGGTGATCTATGAAGATGATTTGCTATTCTCTCAACTGAGAAAACCCTACAAAATCATGCAAGTCAAGAAGTTAAAATCTTCGGGTTCACTTTAAGAACACCCGTGAAACTTCCCAGGCCATCAAGGGTGTGCATATCCAAAAAGCCACCAAATATCTGAAAGATGTCACTTTAAAGAAGCAATGTGTGCCATTCTGGAGGTACAAGAGCTAAGTCAGCAAGTATGCTCAGGCCAAACAGTGAGGCTGGACACAGGGTTGGTCGCAAAAAAAAAAAAAAAAAAAAAAAAGTGCTGAATTTTTGCTGCACATGCTTAAAAATGCAGAGAGTAATGCAGGGTCTAGACGTAGATTCTTTGGTCATTGAACACATCCAGGTAAACAAAACACCGAAGATACACCGACGAACTTATAGAGCTCATGGCTGGATTAACGCATACACGGAAATAAATTCAGCATAATATAAATGAAGATAACAGTAAAAGAAGAAGAAGATAGCATAACTGTTTTAAAGGCATTTAAATCTAATTATGAGGTTTTTAAAAACTTAGCCAAGTGATGATAAATGTCATATGTAGGAACTGATGAACCACATAGCTAAAAAATGTTTGAAAAATCTGTGGAAGAAAGTCAATGGATACTTTTCTCATCTAGTTAGCATTTATTAAAACAAGCATGGAACTAGGAGAGTATGAAATGTCAAAAGATCTGGCTTAAAACACTGGGCTATCTTTCATTCAGTGGGTATCAAGTCCATTGTGTCCTGGGTCCCCCAGCCCTTCCTGACATCCTTTAGGCCAGTGAATGGCACCACCATTCTCAAGTTAAAGACTCTGGGATCATCAAAGATGCCACCAGCAACAGTTCTTAATATTTATTTATTTATTTTATGTATATGAGTGCTATCTGCATGTACACCTTTATGCCAGAAGAGGGCATCAGATCCCGCTATAAATGGTTGTGAGCCACCATGCAATTGCTGGGAATTGACCTCAGGACCTCTGGAAGAGCAGCCAGTGCTCTTAACCTCTGAGCCATCTCTCCATCCTCATCAGTAATTCTTATTGGCTGAATCTACTTTCATCTACTTTAAAAAAAAACATTATGAGGTTAGCTATGTGTGGCAGAGGCTAGGACAAAAAGATAGTAACAAAATTCCAGCTCCTCACCTGTCATATCACTGCTATTGTCTTCCTTCTTGCCCA